GCACAAATCAATTTTGTGCTCCAAGTGATGTTTATCAAGTTTTCCATCACATTACGCCATGCACTACGTAGTTTTTCTCTTCTGGTTCAGTGAATGTGTCTCTATACATCAATCAAACACGAAATGTACGGAAATTCCGTAATCCCAAAACAAAACAACGCTTTTTGCGTGTGCGTGTGTATTTCAACCATTTTCTCCATGAACATATCATGTGATTGTGTGTTTAAATTGAATTTGTTGGGTTTTTATTTTCTTCCTTGCTATCGCATTGTGTGATCTATTGGATTTCGACCCGCATAGTGCCATTCATAAATATGATGGACTGCTGAAATGCGATTCATTAATTCTATGGTGAGCGTCATGTAAATATTTCGTCGTATTCAGGAATTGTTAGCATTTTTCTGCCAACAACAAAAATTGTTTAGTTCACCCCGCCCGCAAAGAGTTTTTAGTTCGCAATTTTTCATGTGCATGGTGACTGCAGATTATGAGACTAATGCGTGCTCGAAGAGATTGTGTTTAATGAATGCAAAAAAAAAAAACACCCAACAAGCCCTCGGCCGAGATCTACTTTTGTGGAAATAATATGATTTTCATACATGAAAATGGATGAATGTGAGACGGGGTTCGTTACGCGTCAATAGGACGATAATACCGCATATGATAAAACAAGTTCAGCGGACAGTAATTTAATTTGCATGTGGTGAATGAAAGGATATATGTTCATAATTCTTGTTCTGCTGGTATGCGATGTGATGTAATGCAAAGTATTAGAACATATACGTACCATTGAAATCATGCACCTGTTTTATCTCAAATATGTTTTCACGCCATACTTACGACTTAATGAGCGAATGCATGTTTTGTACCATTTTTCACTCCATCTCTGTCTATCTTTTTTTTCATCCATTAAAACAACACATTTATTTTGCCCATAAAGTAACGTTACATTATGAGATGGTTTCTTTGAATAATTGTAAAAGTCTAAAATAAATTCCACATTCTTAAGTATACTTTCCAGAAATCCAGAAATTCTTCTCAAAAATTGAAAATGCATTTTTGCGCTCTTACGAAAAACTTCCTTCCTATCTTGTCTATTAAATTTAGTGCGTTGTCTGTTTGTGGTATATGGCTCGAGCACTTCACCATAAACTTGTAACTTCAAAGAGAAAAAATTCAGTTCGCTGTTAAACGTGGGTCGCGTTCATGGAAAATCCTATATATAGGAACAACAAGTCGAAATAATGCTGTGTTTTTACTGAAGTACTATTTCAGTTTGCACGCCCCATGCGCAATCCATTGAATGAGTCTGTACAGGAACTTTTGTTTAGTGAGCAACACACGTTCAATTACAACAACAATAATAACAGCAACATAATACTACGTTTTCATTACGCTACCGTAATTTTTTCAGTCTTTCCACCACCAATCCACCGATTGAATGGCTGTGCAGAATATACCGATAGTAAAGCAAATAGAATGGAGTAAAAATGCCGTTGACTACTATGATAGACTGACCGTTTACGATACATACAGAATGTTTGCAAAAAAAGAAGTCATGACGCTAGGCAATAGAAGTTATATGCTGTTGGCATTCAATGCGACATTTTCCCATTCGGAATGCGGTACAATGCGTTCAAACTGCGGAAGGACAATGCATATATGTTTTTCTCTTTTCCTGCTGCCTCTATGATATCAAGCGGAGTGCGAATTATACTCTCAATAATCTCACTCTCAATTTATGTATGTATGCATGTGCTGTGTGCTCTCATCAAAATTCCCCTTCGTAAAACGTTTCCTCGCTGCTCAATTTCACAACATCATTTGAAGTTCAGCGACACGCAGAACATTCACACAGCGTGATTTCATTCAAAATCGTTGTTGCCGTTTTACGTGATGCCCAAGTAATCCCGACCAAATTTCCACATGCGTGTGTAACATACTTGTTTCATTTGCTATTTTCGTACAAACACTTGCACAATGCCAAATGATTTGATGGGCTGCAAGAGAGACTGAGCGAAAGAGAGCTGTTTTGCTCGTGAATCAGAGCGAATTAGTGTGAGTGTGTATAAAAAGGACTATAATAAAATGAAATTATTCATTTTTGTGCCATTGCTTAGGTTGCGTATGTCTTTGGTGCAGTAACGAACCGAGATCGATTCCAATTGTGTGTTTTGCTATGTGAACTAGAGTGGTTATTATTATAGTATTTTTTGAAGTGATTGGTCGAGACAATGTGGCCTCTTGTGTTTGTATACAAACAGAGGGAAAAAAGGATAAATACAGTGCTGTGAATGAAAGCATGAGCCAAGACATATAGCTCTAAATCGTTGTGCCTAAGCACAAAGTGAATTCCAATAATAAAAAGAGAAATAATTTAATGATATTCATTAAATTTAAAATAACGAATTGTTTTTTTCTCAAAGAAAGGTTTAATTCAATATACCAATTTCAATTATTACCGAGAGCAATCCGAGTTCAGTTTAATCTCATTTTATTACGCAGTGAAAAACAATTCATTCATCTTGATTTGTAAATTCCTTAACAAAAACCGTTTCCAATAGTTCAAAATAAACATAAAACTCAAACCATAAAAAAGGTGAACGGCTTTAAACCAAACAATTGTTTGGTGAATTGTTTAAAAATGGGAAAAGAAAAGGCAGAGAGAGACTTTTTTAATAGGAAAGTCGCCATGGGATCTCCAATGAAGAAAACGCTATTTATATTCACTTCGTGCTGATTCTATTTTGGATTGTGAACGACGGCAATAAAGTGCATGTGTCGTTGCCAACTGACTCTTTTTGTGTTTGTGCAACTACAAAATTTTGTAGTTTTTTCCTATCTCCTTTCTGTTTTTTTTTCCTCTTTCTTTGTCGTGCGTTTCAATTTGTATTGAATGAACAAAATTTACGGTTCCAAATGATTTAGTTTTTAGCCTAAGCGTTCGTCAATGCATTAGCAAATGCGACACGTGCTCACGCTCTCATGATGCAATAGAACGTTGTACGCTGTTGACTGTTTTATATTTAGAATTAGATAAATTGACGGAAATACAAATGGAAACGTGATTTTTTTCTTGTTGGGTTCGCTTCAACATTTAACACACACACACACACACAAACAGTGAATTGCGATCAAACGCATGCATACTGCAGTATCTTTTTAATAGGCACACGCCTTTTTTTGTTCAATTTGGAATAGATTCAAGCCATTTTTTATCGTCATAATTTTTTTTCTGTTACACTTGCCAAGTGCTCAACTGAAAAATTAAATCTAAGCGCATCGATTCAATTATAACGCATGAATAGACATCGATTCTGTATCATACTCGATGTACAACATAGTATTTCCCATTGATTATAGAGACGATGAAAAATCTAAATAATTATCTATACCACACACAGGTATAATCAAATTTGCTTTGATTCTATGCAAAAACTATGCAAAAAAAACCATGCACATCATACATTGATGCTTCCGACATCACTGGTTGGAAACAATGTTAAGAAATCGTCTCTATAACAGTGTTTGCGATAGTAAATTGAATTTAACGTTCATCCAGACACACCGGTTCATGCTAAGTTCATGGTTTGCTAAGCATTTCCAACCTTAATCTAATAATATAAAAACATTATTATTATTCACGGAATTATACAGCAATTTAGTGTATTTGTTTATAATTTACTGAAATCCGAAGGATATTTTACAAAAGTAAATAGACTTGCGAGTGAATTGTGGAAAAATTGTTGGAATAAAGGGAGAATGTTTTGAATAAAAACAACACGAAAATGGGGTTTCGGATACTATTTAATTGGTGGCAGGTAAATTGAAACGTAAATCCATTTCGTCTGGATTTATTCTAAATAATAACATTTATTCAAATAATATTGATTCAATTGGAAATAGCTGAATGTTGAGTCATCGTTTATTTGGAACGTGTTCAACGATTGTTTAGAAAAGTTAAAAAATGTATTAAACACTGAAACAGCCATTCAGTGCGTGCCTACTTCGTAAATACATCGAAGAAAAAAACATCTTACTTAGCACCGAACGAAGAAGGAAAAAATATTTCGGAATTTTTTTTTTGTTTCTCCTTCTCTCCCATGGCTTTCGCCGAAACCCCCATTTCGAAAACAATTTTAAGAAAGACAAAAGAAGGAAACCATTTAGGAACAAAAATGTGAGGAATATGTCATATTCTACAAATGAGAATGGATTTATGTATGCAATTTACAGTAAGAGAAAAACAACAAAAGACATACAATAACATCGGAGAAAGAAAGAAATTTGACTGAAATTCAATCACTTATTTTGTTTGTATTTGCTTTTGTTTTGTTTTGTTTCGTTTGCATGAGCACGCTGCATGAACACACTGCTGAGATAAGTCGATTCTCATGTGTGCTTGAGATGAAGAAGAAAGTTATGGACAAAATATGACAGTAAATGCACGTAAAGTGAATTAGGAGGATGAAAGAAAAATGTCGAATGTCGCCTCCAATTTATTCTCCATCACGTTCTCGATAAATGGTTGAACCGACCGAAAACCCATTTTCTTTGTATCAAAATCATAACCAACATTTGGCCTTTTGAATTTCGACTTATTGACATGACAACTAGCATAAAGTTTTTGCCCATTTTCAATGATAACAATGTACTGCTTACAAGCGTTTCGTATGACTTTACACGCACTAATGCATCAGCGCGATTGCTTTATTGTCCTGTTGGAGCATGAAACAAAATACCGACCGTTCTCTAATGCTTTGAGCAAAATACTTGTCTGGAATATCGATTAGACGATGGATCTAAACAACATTCAGTTTTCAGTCTGCATTTTAGCTCAACTTGATACACACGTTTCTTCGCAACACAATTTTGGTACATCTCACAAGCTGCAATTTACTCTGGAGTGAACATATTTTATTGTACGATAGTAAAATTTTGTGTTGTGCATTTTATGTGAATCATCATATTTACGTAGAAAAAGTTGAAAATTACCCAACTTTATCTGTATTCACAATTTTATTTGATTATAAAGATTTTGTTAACATAAGTTGAATATCAGAACTATTAAGCTTACTATGAGCTAAGCTCTGGTCCATTTGGAATTAGTAACTTTAGTCTTCATTCGGTCCAACACCAACCGTCTGTAACATCGGATCGGTTACATAGGGCACAATTCCTTCTTCGGTTATAAGTTTGACAGTGGTTTGGATGCAGGTCAAGTTCTCAGGAGGGCAATAGTCAATTGCTAATATCGGCAAATTATACTGGTCTTCAATTTCTCCTACGCGCGCCAACAACCAATCCCGATCGTTTTGATTTACTTGCACGAATTTCTGTTCTGCTTGATTCCAACCTGCGTAAAGTGATTCAAATGCCACCATGTTTGCAGCCTGATGCACGCTTGGCATGATCTCGAAACCACGATTAAAAATTAACATTGCATTTGGAAACTGCTTCTTTAGCGCAATGATTGCTTGAGAAAGTCCATTTTGTTGTGCTTGGCTCTCTGCATCTGTTGTCACCACACGTTGATATGAATCCAACGTATCAAGAAAGAATCCTTTGAATCCTCGATTCCATGTCGGTGCAATAACTTTGTTAACAAAAAACGACGGCCAACCTGATGCAGTTTGATTAATAATGTACGATGCCCATTCGGTGTTATTGCCTATCAACCACTCACGTGGCATTTCATTGAAATAAGGACGATGAGATTGTACCTCACCCACACTCACATATGAAAACCAAATTGTGTTACTTTCCGAATTTCCAAGTTTTGATGGTTCAAAGTTTGCTTCCGAATCAACTACGGCCCAATCGAATTCGGAAAGAGCGGTGACATTTGGTTCATATGCATAACATAATGCAACACTCACTGCTTCACTTTGTGCAACCAAACACGTCATTGCGACCAAAACAATAAAATTTTTGGCACAAGTCATGCCCGTGACTTTTCTCAGCCAGTAATGCTTTTGCGTCGAGCGTTCTTTCATTTTGTAATAACCTACAGGAAAAGTTTTTCAATTTAGTTTTGAAATGAAATATCAATTTTTATTTAAAATTAATTCTGAACTTGCCAATGTTTTTCGTATCACTTGTTTTGCCACTCTGAATTATTCATTAGCCGTGTCTAGATTTTTATATAACTATTCATAGGAATATGACGTATTTTCATCACATGACGACTAATTTATCAAATAAAATAAAACACGAACTAAATAAAACAAATATTTTTTTGCCGTATCACAAATAATATCTATAAATAAGATCAAAATGAATGTTTGGGTTTTTACAGGCGTAAAAAACTGATGAAAGATAAATTACAACTGTCTTTAGTAAAGTTGAGAGGTTTGAGCAGTATAAGTTTTCTAGAAAAAGTTTTCTATCATATCTATCCAGTTTGACACAATCAACTGCAGAAAAAATAGCAAAAAAACATACATTATTTTGGAACTCATCAATTGATATCGTGTGTGATAAGAGAAAATAATATTTTATTTTGTGAAAATGATAATCATTTAACGATATAGATTAGCCTATTATAAATATGAACGGTTTACGTTTCCAAGCTTTTAAATACGGGGATTCACAAATATTTCATTTAAAACTGTATTGAACAAATTTGCAACAACAAATTCTATCCGTTATCTCAGTTATAAATGGCATTTTCACTCGGCTCATTAAGATCTTCAGCAATAATACAAATTGTAAAGAATTGTTAAGAAATAGTTGTAAAATATTCTTTATAAAATATTATTAGGAAAAGGTGTACTTTCCGCAAAAACTCAAGACATATGGCATTCCGTTTGGTTTTTGTTGCATAAATTTCCGTTTCATTCCCAGAAAATTGATTGTATTAAATAGAAGGAAAAAAATGTGCAGAAAATTCAATATCAAGGCAAAAGTTACGCCAACGACACATGCTTCCTCAATATAGTATCAGTCCTTTTTTTAAACCTATGTAAAAAAATGTGCTATCTATTTTTTTCTCTTTCTTTTTTATTTCCATTTACTTATCGTCATTATTTACCTCGCCAGAAATAGTCAATGCAGTACAATATCAGTATAGTGTTGAGTTGAGTCGAAATAGAATGAAAACGATAGTCGTTTGCAAACATCGGATGCGGCTGCATTTTGTGTGTGTAAATAGACTGGAAGTGGCTCGGTGATAAGATAAGGCACGTTTCAATGTCCTCGACATTTTTTTCCCTTATGCCTATATGCTTATTACACGGACACGAGGAATTGTAGAAAGCGACACACGAAACATGAGCCATGACTGTAAACAGTGAAAGAGAAAAAATGTTCTGCTAACGGAAAATTCATTACATCGTTTTGACGATATAAAAACACCGATATAAAAGCACATAAATTTTATACGCCTAAAACCTGACACCATGTCTGTAAAGTTTGCGCTAATGCTTTTTTTTGTTTTCGGTTTGTTTGTTTTGCAGGGTTTAGAAGTACCAAATACTACAACAATCAGATTACGACCTCATAGCCAAAGTTCTTCCGAACGAACGAATTCGTATCGCTTTTCGATGGCAAATTTAGAAGAAACACACGAAGCGGAATTGGATGCGATTCTCGGCGAACTAAGTTTATTGGAGCAACACGCTACTAAATCAACAACAAATTCGAACGGAACCGAAAGCAAAACCAACATGAACAACATACAGACCACTGCAGCAATCATGTCGCCTATACGAAATGGTCGAACACATTCGCGATCGAATTCAACAGTATCGGGTGTGACAAATTCATCGATTTCAATTTCATCGGAAAGTGGTAATGGCAGCGGATCCGACTCAGGCAGCGCTGGTGCCATGCGAGAATCACGTACTGAAAGTCCTGACAACGATTCAGCTTTTAGCGATACCGTTTCGTTGCTTTCAAGCGAATCGTCTGCATCGAGCAACATAAGTAATCTCACAGGAAATGGAAAAAATATCCTGTCAATGAATTTGAATCTTCTGCAAGTGAGTTTTTTTATTTTTTATTTCTTTCCACTTTCTAAGCTTCAAACAATTCAAACTAAATTAAATGACATGGACTCATTTTTTTTCCAGTGTGATAGTGCAAAGGCAGCGAAAATACATTTGGCTTTGCAAAAATTAGAGCAAGCATCAATTAGACGTTTATTCGTAAAGGCATTTACAGCCGATGGAGCGTCCAAGTCGTTACTCGTGGACGAAAGCATGACCTGTGGCCACGTGACACGACTTCTTGCTGATAAAAATCACGTTCAAATGGAACCGCTTTGGGCATTAGTAGAACATTTACCTGATCTTCAAATGGGTATGTATACAAACACAAATTCACACCAAAAACCGGAATTAGAATTGATTGAATTTTAACATTTAATTTTAATCATTTCAATTTATCCCATTTTATTCGTGCCCAATGCAGAACGTTTATTTGAAGACCATGAGCTCCTTGTGGACAACTTGATGAATTGGAGTAACGACTCGAAAAATCGAGTATTGTTTCTGCAGAGAAGTGATAAAGTAGCGCTGTTCCACACGCCAGAAAAGTTCCTGAACGGCACACAAATGGCTCCGGGCAATGACCATGACGAGCATACGAGGTATATATCCAACAAATCCAATTATTATTACTTTTTTCTTTATCGCTTTCTCTAAATCTCTGTATTTTCATTTTCTCTCTTTCGTTAATAATGTAGAACAATGCTTTTGGACGAGCATTTTTCAAGCGGCAATCAGATTGCGATGGAAGGACCGTTATACGTAAAAATCGAGTCGAAAAAAGTTTGGAAACGTTATCATTTTGTGTTGCGAGCATCTGGAATTTATTACTATCCGAAAGAAAAAACTAAATCGCCACGCGATCTACTATGTCACAGCTTGTTTGCGGGTAATGATGTGTACAAGGGAATTGGATGGAAAAAGAAGCATAAGGCGCCAACGGAATATACATTTGCGTTAAAGTCACAGAAAGAGACGACGTGCAGTGCAAAGGGAAATGCACGCGGCATTAAAATGCTGTGCGCCGAAGATATGGAAACGTTAGAAAAATGGGTTATGGCTATTCGTGTTGCAAAATATGGAAAACAATTGTTGGACAATCATCGTGCATTGGTCGAAGATTTGGCAAACGAAGAATTGGATAAATTTTCATCGAATCGCAGCAGCTCAATAGGAAGCATTGTGTCATCGGTTCCGTCGCAATGCAGCAGTAATGAAAGTACTAATATTGTGAATAATAATAATACAATGGCTTCATCAAACGGACGTTTGTCGCGAGCTTCGAGTTCAAGCTCCAGCGGTTGTTTGTCCGATGAAAATAATGCTTTTGACTCCGACTTTCCAACCGGAACAATCAAAAGAAAACCCTCAATGAAACCAAATCTGCCATTAACTTCAATGACACGTCAATTGAAAGAGCGCAACAGCATTGACGATTCATCAAATCCAGCATCGCCAGAGCGTGGCGGTACTTTAACAAGACGTCACAGTCGACGAAGAAGCGAAGAAAGTGGTGGCAGCAACAACAGTACATTGAAACGACGACCAAATAATTGTGCACGCGGTTCAGTAGATAGTTCTTCAACACAAGCATCCTCATTGAACTCACCAAGCACACCAACCACTCATGTGCCCATTATTATAAACAATGTAGATCACATCGATGCATCTCCAATTAGCCCTCTAGAAGCAATGCCATCGTGCATGACAGATTCAATGTTCTCATTGCCACCACCACCGGAAGGCGACAGTCTCCTTACCGGATCGACATTCTCTTTAGATTCATTGCCAGCTCCACCATCACCAAGTGAGTTAAATGCAATGAACGAATTACAACAAAGCATGCAACCTCCACCACCGCCACCAAATGACTTGCAACCCATTTATGTATCACAACAAAAGATGTGTTTCATCAATAACATAAATAACAATAATCCAATTCAACAAATTGCCGGATTTGATGAATGCGATCGGGTAAGCGACGCTCCCAAAGTATCAAATGAAATTCAATCGCAACCCATATACGTGTCCTCAATAAAACCATCAATTAAAGCGCCACCCTATAAGAATCCGCCAGCTTACAATGGCGCCCCAAGTAGCCCGTCAAGCATCTCTAGTCCAAGTGCACAGAAAACCGTAACATTTGCCGATTCACCAATTTTGCTTCGCCGAAAAGTGTGCTTCGAAGACGAAGTGGTAGGTAATCAATCGCCACAACAAAATCCATCATCTCCACGTCGAATGTCAAAAGATACAGCAGCTCCGATGCCACCACCAAGAGCCGAAGGTACTCGATTATCAACAATTTCATCACCACGGCGGCTAGCCGACTCAACATCAAATCCGCCGCATGATTTTTTGCAAGATTTACAACGTGTGATGCGCAAAAAATGGCAAATTTCGCAAAAATGTAAACTAGAACCGACAACAACACCTCACGAAGTGCTTGGATTCCGTGACTTTGACAACAATGCAGCCGGTATGAATATGGAGTACCATGATACATCACATTATTATCGAGAATCGTCGAATGTGAGCAATTGGGTGCAAGAGCATTACGGAGCCGTTACGGTTGACAATTTATATGCAAATCTTGGTACGGCCGCCGCTGGTGACCGATGCACAGCACCCTTACCAATCATGAAAAAGCGTCCACCTCCTCCGCCACCAAAGCGTAATACAACTACCGTCTTAACACACCGAACCTAAACACAACTATTAGCTATTCGCGATCGAGATGAATTTTAATCTTAACAGAAGTAAATGTGCCATTTCCCTTGTATCAACAACTCTAAGAATCGAACAAACTTGAAAGAAAGAAAAAAAATGAAGAAGAGAAACGATTTGCGATTTTTACTTTTACAGAATTTTCGTAAACTATCTTAAGAGCTATGTATAAGAGTATAACAATATGTCATGCCATATACAGACACAAGCAAGCATCATTATTATTATTCTGAATGGAATTTAAGCGATATTTCGACTCGTCAAATGCTTCGTCATACAAAAATGATTTAACAATTATTTCAACAAAGAATTATATTATAGTATAACAATTATGAAAAATCAAATCCGAAATTTATTGAAAATTGTTTCTAATTGGAAAAATCGAAGAAAAAAAACTATTATTATGCAAATTTTTAAAGCAAAATTTACTCAAAAATAGAATGTTTTAGACAAATTTACAACAAAAAAAATTGTAATTTTAAAAAGGAATTTCTTGTTTAGGCGAAAACGAAACACGACAATTGGACTTAAAATGAATTATGATATAAAAATTTGATATTTAAGAAAATATAATTTATTGCCATAAACGATTTTTTTTGGCGAAAACAAGTCTATATACATAAAATTGAAAATATCAATGTTTTGATTTGGAGCATACAAGTATTATAAATAAAGCTTACTATTATTATTATTATAAACCGTTTGCCTTTTATTTATCAACCCAAAAACCGAGCTCGCTATTGAACTATCTTAGGCATTGGACAAAAAGTATGATAAGGTTTGTACTCTTACTGAGATCCCAAGCTTTTTGAAACACAACGCCATCTGTGGGAAACTTTTGACATTTATCTTCGAGTTGAGGCACCAACACAAGACCATAAATTGATTTGAGTACTGACTATGCTGGTTGTGCTATAATTTATGGTAACTTTCGTATAAGAGTTAACAAAACCGTACTTGGAACCAACTCACAGTATTAATTTTTTTAAATCTTTTTGCAATTTTTATGTTTTATTTTCAAAAAGTGTAAAAATGAAAATAAATTAAACAGAATTTTCGTTTTACAAAATAAATTCATTTATATTTTCTTAACTCAAATATTTGAAATATTTTCAAAATCCATATTTGTCTGTATATTGCTCTTTTTCAAACGATCATATTATAAAAACATCAAAAGAAACACGATGACAAAAAAAACTAAGAAAAATAGTGTAGTAATAAGATCAATGCGCATTCATTGCTCATCTTCTTTTTATTTAGCCGAGACTGGCACACAGAATAGATATCAAAATTCTCATAAGCTCAGACTCAATAGCAAAAACTATCTTAAAAAGGGGTTCTTCAATGTCATCTTGTCATATTCCATTGGACTCAATCTTCTTACATACATATGTGTGTGTGTGAGAGAGCTGATGTATTCGAATTCAAATACAGTCTCTCAATCTATATTCGAGAGAAAAAAAACACTTTTTGTAAGATCTCACTCACTACCTCTGCTGTGCGGTAAAATAGGCGAATTACATATCTAGACAATAATAGTACATCGAATGCAGTAGATACTCAATAGTTTCCACGCAAGTTATTAAAGTAAAGCATCCATTTCAATCAATTTAATGATTTTATTTCTATTTTTGGTTTTTAGAAAAAATACTTCCAAATGAAATTTTGAATTTTTTTTATGCGAAAAAAAAGCATTGAACAATTCCTGAGAAAAACATTTCGCAGCAGATTTGTTCAAAGAAATCTCGATAATGTTTGTTAAAAAACTATCGAGAACGTAATGTATATACGTGTGTTAGATTTGTGCATGGTTGAATGGTCTTTTTATGTGTATCATCTACCCCGTCATGGTATGTGATTAAAGATTAATTTTAAAGCGCGCAAAAAAAAATAATAATAATGAATACATGGTACAAATGAAGGAAAGTCGAGCACAACACACGTAAGCTATATAAGAATGCGGAACACAATTGTCTTGATTCCTCCTTTTCATGCTCTTTCTCCATCCTCTCACTTTACTTTCATTGAAAATGACATCCCTGCTTTTTTTTTCCTCTCTGTTCGCTCTGTACATTACTTGCTCATTTTACCCGTGTCAAACCACCAACTGATTGCAATGGAAAATATCCGTTCTAAAATTCGACGGTTTAAATATGGTGAACACAGACATAAATGTAGAGCGTAAAGAGTGTCGCAACGCTCACAAACATTCCACACATGTAAATGAAATGATTGGCAATAAATAATTGTAACGAAATCTATTACATAGACAGTTTTTTTTAGGTGCGTGAGCTTAAGATATGTGAACAAGGCCCAAAACATTGTCGAGTAAATGGTTGAATGGATTTTTGCAATCGACTGAACAGCAACATTTAACGGGGAAACATCGCATGAAAATGTTGCAAATTGTAATTTATTATCTGTGACAGGGCGGTTTCAATTCGAAATGAAAAAAGAAAGGATTAAACAATGGCAAAACTACTTGTATTTTCTGTGAAATATCTGAAGTATTCGTTAAGCGACGGAAGTAAAGCGAGATTTTAAATTAATTCGTTTAATAATTTATTCGGATATTTTTGCAACAAAACTTATTTTATGACATTTTGTCAGTCGTCTACGTTGCGCATCGAAGTGTTTGGCAACTACAATTTTATGTTGTAAAAAGTGTTTGTTTTTCAGTCGAAATGCGAATAAATTTCGTCTTGATGGAGAAATAACTTAACCGTAAACAATTAATATTTAATGAAAGAATCTGCGTTGGTGCGTCAAAAGTATTTTCCATTTCCAGTTGATTTTACCACTTGATACTGGCACAGAAATGTGTAAATAAAACCGTTTCACGGAAACATTTTAGTGAATATTGTCTAGAGACATGATCACGCACACACAAATTTATTTATTTCTCTAACACAGGCAAAAGTCAACAGTTGAACGATTTTTACTCGTTACGTATACGGTTGTATGACAAATGTGCTGGAATCACATTTAGTCAATCGTATATAAACACACGTGTGCGTGTTAGCCGGTAGTTATGCACATCATCAACACACTGTCACATGCTTGTTTCTCGGAAAAACAGTTGATTTACTATCAACGCTAAGATTAGTTTACTTTGAATGAAATGGAAAAAAACGAGCCAATCACATGAGAGCTCATTCACACTTTCGTTAGCATTGACTATTCGGCCAGAATCATCTAGATAAATGAGCACTGAGTTTGCACAATGACCGTTTGTAGTGAGACTAAATAAGAAAATTTATCACCATTTTAACTAATAGAATTCTTGCCATCGATTTGATGACATAAACGATCCGAGGAATTCCATCAAGGAATATTTAATCAGACAAAATTTATACAATCATTACTGATTCGAATTAGAGATTCGCATTTATTCCGAACGATTGTCACAAAGAGTTTTGGTTAATTTGATGTCAAATTGAATACGAAACCCTCAGATCGAAAGAGGAACAATCTCGCTTGCATAGAAGACGGAATAAAAGATCCTTTATTAAAGGTCAAACCTTTTTTTACTGATGACTTTGAAGATTTAAACCTTTCGATTTCGAGTGAAGGTAAAAATCGAAATAATGCATTCGTCTATTTAAAATTCTTAAGTTCAAACCAAAATCAATTTACTTGTTCACCGTTCAACTTTGCACCGAATTAGTCTAAGTTGCGTTTGGTTTTGATGTGAGGCTGACATTTTGTCGGAGTGCAAAGCGGAATGTGTTTGGTATTGATCACACGTGTCCAATTGTTTTCCCTATTCGATCTGGATCAGAAAAACATTCCAAATGTGGTGATGATAATCAAATGAATTCCATGCACGCATACGAAAACGGCGAGCACTAAATTGATATACCTTCATTGAATGAAAATTGCAAATAGTATGATGTGCGTATGTGTGTATGGTGAATGGTCGTTCTATGTATACGATTATTTTGTACAAATAGTTTTTGGAATGCTGTTTGTTTGTAAGAAACCGCACACAAACGAACAAATCTCCAATTACGACATAGATGATATAATTTAACTCCCTAAAAGTAGGATGCAACCAAACACGTATGACAATAAAATAGATTTGTTCAGGCTTCTTTTTTTCTCGCTCTCTCATAGCATGCCGATATTAACCAATTTCAGTTTTTTTTTTCTCTCGACAGAAATAAATGTTCAAAATGAAAATATTGATGCATACCGAGAAAAACAACATTGATGAAAAAAAAATCGGCCACGAATGAAACGTGCTCATTGAATTTATATGAAACGCATGCAATGTTTTTCATATACGCACTCGTATTTCTTAGATTCATCGTGTGTGTGTGTGTGTGTGTGTGTGAGTACGTACGTTTTTCCGAAATGGAGTGAGCATAACCTATCAACGTTTGGATAATGCGCACATTACACGTATTGTTACCAAATAATTATTACATCTTTGGGACAAACAATAATCATTAATTTCACCGAATTCTCGCACCCAAAGCATACACAAACCTACAATGTTCGTTGGCCGTGCTAACACCATACATGGATGGATGTTCCGTTTGAGTTTTGAGCATTGCATCAACCTACAAAATCCCATATTGCTTCAATTCATGGGTACATGACAATTGAATTTAATGCTTTTATAATTAGAAAAACGTTCCATATTTGCACACACTCGCATTTATCGAGAAAAAAATCCGTATTGTAAGCTGAATGAGCTAGTGGTCGACTTCGATTTTTAAGTGTTGCTCCTCTTTAATTTATTGCCTCGAATTGTTAAGCTTCTTCTAATTTCACTTAAAACCAATACATTTTTATTCATATGCATATCGGGTGCATTGTGCAACAATTTATTGAAAAGAAAAAAACTGTCACCATAAATCAAAGGTGCTGCACAGTTGAATTCATTCTTAATTTAGATTATACATTTAACCTTATTCAAAAAAAGAAAATTGTGTAGTGAGAATAATTAGTGATATTGTGTTGTATGGAGGAAAAAAAGGAAAACGAAAATTACCCCAAGAAATGAATTCAGAAATTTGTCGAAGATGTAGAAAAACTGAAAATTCATTCCCAAAATATTTTCACGTGTATTCATTCATCTG